ACTCTTATTCCCACTAGCTGTGGGAATTTAGGCACACATTGAGATTTTCTCTAGCATCTGTACATGGTAAGATGCCATCAACCTATTTTCCTGAGAATTAAACAGGATGTAATCACAGGAATAGGATATACCTACCACAACTGATTGGTAATGTATGTTAAGCTTCCCATCCACCCCTTACACCTTCGTATTCCTGAAGGTTCTGTTCTTTGAGCATCCCAAATCATTCAGTGTATAAGGATTAATTTCTAAACATAGATGTCTAGAAAAATATTATCATGGCTCAATTCATAAAATAAAAAAAAATGTCAAAAGCTTAGATCAAATGTATGTGAACACTGATAGAATAAAATTATTAAAGCAATCATGGCCTCTCTATAGATAGATAGATAGATAGATAGATAGATAGATAGATAGATAGATAGATAGATAGATAGAGATGGAGAGAGAGAGAGAGATAGAGATAGAGATAGAGATAGTGATAGAGATAGAGATAGATCCTCAAAGGAGCTAGAATTGATGTAGACCAGGTTGGATTCAAACTCGGAGAGATCCCCTTATCTTTGTCTCCCAGTGGTGGGTACGTTTTTATAAAGATATGTACTGAAGTTTTTATGTATAGTGTCTCTGCCAGTGTAGTCACAGAGAGACTTTTAGGGCTATCTGCTGTCTGTGGAAATACAATCTAGGAATTACTGATAAAATTACTATAGCATGGTGCCTATACACACTTTCCTCTGAGATTTCTCTGCAGGTTGTCAAGAATATTAGAAAACTCACAGTATTTTGGTTCATAACTGATAAGCCATTTCTTCCTGTAAGTACGATAACCTTTATAGATGGGGACTGAACACAGAGTGGCCAGTTCAGTAAGATCTATGACCATCAGCTTACTTTGGCCCCACTTTACTGTTGCCTGGGAATGTGAGAGCTTTAAAGAGATGGAGTCTGGATTTCTTCCTACAGAGACTCTTACTTAATTAGTACCGGGTATTGTCTGTGGTTTGAACATTTTAAACTTTTATCTTAGAATAATTATAGAGCCACAGGAAACTATAAAGACAATACAAAGAGGTCCCTTGGGCCCTCCTCTCAGTCTGCCCCAGTGCTAACGACTGCTGTAACTGCAGATGAATGTCAAAGCCAAGGCATTGGCATAAGAGAAATGATGCTGGCGGGCATAAGTCATTGCTCCAATCGTCCACACCTTATTTTTTGAGACAGGGTCTCTCATGGAACCTGAGGCTCTCTGATAGGCTAGACTGGCTGATGTCAACCAGGGTTCTGTCTCCCCTCTCCCTTCCAGTGCTGGGTTACTTACAGGGTGGCGCAGCACTGTCCACTTTGTAAGCAGATGCCAAAGGATTCCATGCTTGAGCAGCAAACTCCTGACTGAACCACCTCCTCAGCCAAATTAGGTCCAACTGGTCTACCAAATCATCAAGGTTCTTGAAAACCTCTAACCAAAGTGAGATGGATAGTTCCTTTTAGCCACAGTCATTTACATCGATAGACACACACACACACACACACCCATACACACACCCCACATAACCCACACAGATGTCTTATACAAGTGTCAAACACTCTCACAGACACACATCCTAAACACCCTAAACTTTTAATGAGAGGTTGTGAGACCAAAGTGGCTGACATTCAAAAGAAAACTTCATTGCGGGAAAATGACAGTTGACGATTGCACAAAACATGTCCTGGTTTACACCCTAAGTCAGGAAGATGTCTGCCATGCCCAAGGCAATAAACAAAGGTTTATGGCTCCCTGAATTAAGGTCCATGTCAGCAATGAAAAGGAAACACCATGAATTTTGAAAATGTCATATACACATAAAGTGGAGTGGTTAAATCCTGATAACATGGTAAGTGCATGTGTGTGTTTGTATGTGAGTGTGTGTAAGCATGTGTATAAGTGTATGTGTACATATGTGTGTATGTATGTGTGTATGTATGTGTGTATCACCCCACCCACTGATAATGCTAAAAATGCACATTAGCTACCAGCATCCTCTATAAATAAATCAGTGCTCCTTTCTCTGCCACCTGGGAAATTATGCACTGTCCCAGCAAGTCTCCATAGTTCTTCTCTCTAAAATTGTGGAAGTGAGCATTAATCAGAGACGTAGTGTGAGTGACATACAGGCCTTACCTCTCATTCTAGCATCTATTTTCTAATACTGACTGTGGTGATCTAGGGATATTTGCAGTCAGAAGAAGCCCCATCCCAGCCTGCATCCAGGTATAAGAACATTCCCTGGCTGTACAAAAGAAGGAGAGACCTCTTTATTCAGGGCTAAACTTTCATTGAAATGTTGGTGAGGCATCTTTGCCACACTGTCTGTGACTAAGGGTTACGGGTCTGCAAGCCCTCACCCGGTCCCATAAGTCAGACAGATCCACTGTTTCTGGATACTTACGTATCCCGGTGCCTCAGAATTCTCCACCCCCAGATACACCCACAGAATACGGCAAAGGAGCTGATGCAGAGGCGGCTTGTCCTCAGAGACTTCCCTAAGTTCCCTTTTGACAGCTTCCTTTGCAGTAATGCGTTCTCTCTTCCTCTGGTCTCTCTAAGGCTCTCAGTGTCCCAGAGTTACCCTCACAACTTCTTGTTTCTGGCCTGGAGCCTGGGTGTCTCAGGCAGCTTTCATTTTCCAGAAAGTTCCAGGGCATAATGCCCGCTTGACTAGGACTTTTGAGAAGATTCTTCATGCCTAATGCTTTGGGGAGAGGCTCTGGTCTGAAGTAGCTTGTCCTGTGAGTGCCCTTGGAGGCCTATGGTAGGAGCTGTGATTGTCCAGGCAAGGGGACGATGAAGTGATACCTTATTCTAAAGATGCCACTTTCCAGCTCTGGTCCCAGACCTCTAAAATTAGTCCTGGGAGGGGAAAAAAAGAACAGGATGGGGTCCAGGAGGGAAAGCATCCTTCTCAGAGATTTAGCTATAAACCACAGTTAATTCTTTTTTATTGATCCATCCTTTTGCACCTCATTAGTGGTGAACCTGCAGCACCCTGGGTGGAGTCCTTTGAACATGCTGATTAGCATAGATCAGCTGTATGATTAAGACAACAGCATCTTGGAAAAATCGCCAAGTCTAACCTTCCTCGTGAACGGATGTGACTGTCGTAACTGATTTCAGAGCTCTGGGTGAGGATCTCCCTTCGACTTCCTTCTTTCAACAGAAAGGCTTTATTTAATATTTGGGTTAATCTCTACCTTTCCACTCCATTTAAACCTTGTGCTGGCTGCTGTGATCTAGACAGATTCTGAGAAAGGCACTAATGTTTGTCAGCTGAAGCAGTGACTTTCAGTTTATCAGAAACAAGGGTATCTGACCTTAGAGACAAACGTTGAATAGCAGGAAGAGGCAAAGAATAGATGTAAGGTACACCAAGTTCCAGGTGACAAAGAGGAGAAACCCAGGCTCCTGGGAGCCACAGAAAACTATCAGCCTTCTTGCAGTTTCTTGTTTTCTTCACCGTTTCACCCTATTTAATAAAGAGTAACAAAGTCTACGCTAGAGAGATGGTTTGGCATTTAAGGGCACTGACTCCTTTTGTAAAGGATGAAAGTCTAATTCCCAGCACCCCCATCTGGCGGCTCAAGCCTATAACTTCAGCTCCAGGGAAATTGACACCCTTTTCTGGCCTCTGAGGGCACTGGCACACAGGCACACACACTCAGTCAAAGGAACACATACAAATAAAGTCAAGAAATTAGTAAGTACAAAGTAAACCTGTAGTATCAACTTCCTGGACCATGCATGACTGTATGCAGGCCCATATTGGTGTGTAGAGCCACCAACAGCCATGGCATTTATATTCCAGGTCCCACTGAGCCACTCTCCTGGAACTGAGCTTGCCAGGCTTGCCAGTGCGGTGATGTGTGCTATTGCATTTTTTCACTTGTGTATCTTGTGATAGAGCCTTTTGAAGTATAGAACATTGGTATACTGAAGACTTACAAGGGCAACACTTCCTTCAAGTCCTGACTGCAGAAGCTAGATGAGAAGCAAGACAAAGCAACTTTCATCAGTCGGCTATAAAAAGTCAAGTTCCAGACTTGAGACATTTCTATTTGAATCCTAGGCTCTTAACAGGTTGGCAGGTAAACCTCAGTAAAGCTGAAGTAAAACTCGGTGTCACAGAGAAATATCTGCAATGGAACAGTAAGCTTTGGCTGTGGATCCTCAAATGCTGGAAGGATCCTGTGCCCTGAAAAAAAAAAAAACACAACAAAAAACAAAAAGCTGAGAACACCTTAAGAAGAAGCATGCAGAGGCCACACATAGGTGGGCCTGTGTTGGATGCGTGGCTCTGCATGTAACCAGTAGTGTTTCTATCCAGGATGGTCCTCTAGCAACACTGATAATAGTTCTGAGTTTTTCTGTGAGAGTTGCCTCCCCCCTTTTCTCACTTTACCTATATTTATTATCTCATTTGCACCTCTCAGAAAATGCAGACCTCAATGCTTCCTTTGCCTACAGGAAGTAGAAAACCTGGGAAAGTGACTTGTGGAAGGTCAAATTACTTCAAGTGAGTCATATTAGTTCAAGACCTATACTCTTCCAAATTGAGGCGTGGTATGTGGTTAAATGAAATCCACTAGGATCCTCGGGTTTGACTCTCAACTCTTTGGTTAACTGACTTTTTGTTGATTTAAATTTTTATGTATATCGATGTCTTGCCTGAATGTATGTGTGTGTACCATTTTAGTGCCTGCCGAAGTCAGAAGAAGGTGTTGGACCTCCTGGAAGTGGAGTTACAGATGCTTGTGGGCTGCCATGTGGGTGCTGGGAACTGAACCCTGAATCTTCTGGAAGAGCAGCCAGTGCTCTTAACTGCTGAGCCATCTTTCCATCCCCCTAGCTTTTTTCTTTTTATTTGTTTGTCTGTTTGTCTGTCTGTTTATTTTGAGACTGAGTATCATTAGCTACCCTGGAACATGCTATGTAGACCAGGCTGGCCTGGAACTCTCAAAGATTAGTTTATATCACCACCAACTATGCCGCTGGTGGCTTTGAATTCCCCAGACCCAGTTGGGCCTCCCACATGAAGAAGCAGCCATCTTTGGTGTAGGCTGTTTTCTAGGTACTTTGGTCCAGACTTATCACCTGCATTGAGCACTGTCAATGACAAATCAATGAGCATTGTCCTGACAGATCAATCAACCAATCAGTTAATCAAGCAAGAAAGAAAGCTGGAAGTGGAACACACATGGAGATGCAGTATTCTTTTGTGCTGATTCGTAACATATTTTGCTCATTTCTAAAAGTTTTATATATAAATCTTATCTATTGTTTGTGCATAGTGGAGCGTCAGTGGTAGCCAGAGAACTAATAGTTGGGCTTGGTTTTCACCTGCTTGTATGTGTGCCTCAGGGATCAAACTCAGGTCAGCAAGCTTGATGGCAAGTGTCTTTACCAACTGAGCCATCTTGGCAGCCTCTCTGCTTCAATTTCTACCTCTTCTTTATTCATTAATTCATTCCTCAAGTATTTTTCATACAGTACTGCAGATGCTGTGGGGTTCAACACTGAATGGACTCAATGTTTCTATCCTTGTGGACCCCATATACCATAGAAAATCAGTCAAAATATGAGAAAATGTATGTTGTGGTAGGTGGTTGTCTTAATTGGGGTTTCTGTTGCTGTGAAGAGACACTGTGACCATGATAACTCTTATTAAGGAAAATATCTAATTTGTGCTAGCTTACAGTTCAATGGTTTAGCCCATTATTGTCATTGCAAGAAGCATAAAGGCATGCAGGCAGATAGGGTGCTGGAGAGGTAGCTAAAAGTTCTACATCTGTTGGTTTCTTTTTGGAGCTCCTGTCCTCTCCAGGTCTTTCTATCTCCCCATTCTTTTATAAGATTTCCTGCACTCTGCCCAAAGTTTGGCTATGAGTCTCAGCATCTGCTTTGATACCCTGATGAGTAGAGTCTTTCAGAGGCCCTCTCTGGTAGGCTCCTGTCTTGTTCCCTGTTTTTCCCTTTTCCAATGTCTATTCCGTTCACCTTTCTGAATGAGGATTGATCATCTTACCCAGGGTCCTCATTCTTGATTAGCTTCTTTAGGTATAAAGATTTTAGTATGATTATCCCATATTATATGTCCAATATCCACTTATAAGTGAGTATATACTGTGTGTATCTTTCTGGTTCTGGAATACTTCACTGGTATCCAGATCTTTTCTAGATCCTACCATTTGCCTATAAATTTCATGATTTCCTTGTTTTTAATTGCTGAGTAGTATTCCATTGTGTACATCTACCACAATTTGGGCAGATTGCAGGGACTCTTATGAAAGACCTGGAGGGAACAGGAGCTCCACAAGGAGAGCAACAAAACCAAAAAAATCTGGGCCTAGAGGTCTTTTCTGAGACTGATACTCCAATCAAGGACCATGCATGGAGATAAGCTAGAACCCCTGCACAGATGTAGCCCATGGAAGTTCAGTATCCAAGAGGGTTCCCTAGTAATGGGAACAGGGACTATTTCTGACATGAACTCGGTGTCTGGCTCTTTGATCACCTCCCCCTGAGGGGGCGCAGCCTTACCAGACCACAGAGGGAGACAATGCAGCCACTCCTGATGAGACCTTGATAAGCAAGGGTCAGATGCAGGGGGAGGAGGACCTGCCCTATTGATGGACTAGGGGAGGATCATGGGAGGAGAAGAGGGAGGGAGAGTGGGATTGGGAGGGAATGAGGGAGGAGGCTACAGCTGGGATAAAAAGTAAATAAATTTTAATAAATATAGCATGCTGAGAAAAAAGTTCTAAATCTAGATCCACAGGCAGCATGAAGAGAGAGGGAGCCACTAGAGCTCCAATAGAACTTCTGAAACCCCAAAACCTTCCCCCAACGTCATATTTCCTCCCATAATGCCATACCTCTAAGACCAGGAGCTCCTTTTCCCTGTTTTATTAGCAACTCCTATAGCACTCTACATAATCATGGACGACAAAAATCCTTGAAACCTGTAAACATGATAATATCTGTGGACCAATGCTCCTAAATTTTGACATTTGTTCTAAAATTATTGATTTGAGAAAAAAAAAAACCAACTTCTTCCTAATGTAAATTTTCTTTTATTGCAAATAAAGACTTTTCTTTTTCTTTTCTTTTCTTTTCTTTTTTTTTTTTAAGCAATGTACTTCTTCAAACCGGTGGCAATCAAGTATGGATATGGGTAGAAGATGCTTCCATTATATTGGGCTGTAGGCAAGTCTGTGGGACAATGTCTTGATTAATGATTGATGTGAGAGAACTCAGCCCGCTGTGGGTGGCACCATCTTCAGCTATGTGGTTCCGGGATGTATATGAACCAAGCTGAGCGTGAACAGCCCAGTGAACCCGCAAGCAGCATGTCTGTGGTCTCTGCTTCAGTTATTGCCTTGGGTTCCTGCTCTGACCTCCCTCGGTGATAGTTTGTGACCTGGAAGTGTAAGCCAAACAACCCCTTTTCTTTCCAAGTTGCTTTGGGCTACAGCGTTTTACCACAACAACAAAATGAAAGCGGAAAAGACCCAACACCCAGTCTCATTGGCAGAATATCCAGGGCCACAGAAGCAGTCTCCAGTATGACAAGGAAAAGTTTTAGGGATATGTGAAGGGTGACCAATGTGGGGCTCCAGCATCACATGGGCTTAGAGAATAAAAAGCCTCCGCCCTGGAGGCTCCAGGGATTCTGAGGTGACCCTAGCTGAGTTTCCTCCGTGGGGGGATGTGGAGCCGAAAGTGGCAAAGTCTTTTAGCCAGGTGGGACTTTCAGTGGAGGGAGGGGAACACCAACCCACCCACCAAACCTTCAATGCAAAATTTGTCTTGCCTACAATAAGTGTAGGGATAAGATGGAGCAGAGATTGAGGGGACGACAAACGAATGACTGGCCCACGTTGAGACCCAGCCCGTGGGAGAAAGCCAACCCCTATTAAAGATACTATTAAAGATACTCTGCTATGCTTGCAGACAGGAGCCTCATATAACTGTCTTCTGAGAGGCTTCATCCAGCAGCTGATGGAAATAGATAAACAATAGATGAGCTCAGGGAGTTTTGTGGAAGAGTAGGAAAAAGAACTGAGGGACGGGTAAGGGTCAAGGACACCACAAGAAGACCTACAGAGCAAATTAGCTTCAGTCCATGGGGGCTCACAAAGACTTAACCATCAACCCAAAGAGTGTGTATGGGCTGGACCTAGATCCTCTATACATGTGTGGCAGATGTGAAGCTTGGTCATCACGTGGGTCCCCTAACAGTGGGAGAAGGGGCTGTCTCTGACTCTGCTGTCTGTCTGCCTTTGGAAGCCTTTCCTCTAGCAGGGCTGTTTTGTCTGACCTCAGGGGGAGAGGATGCACTTAGTCCTGCTGTGACTTGAGGTACAGGGGTGAGTTGGTACCCCTTGAAGGCCTCCCCTTCTCTGAGAAGGAGAGGGTAGAATAAGGGAGGGGGCTGAGAGGGTGGGACTGGGAGGAATGGAGAGAAGGGGCTGAGAACAGGCTGAAAAGTGATTAAGTAAGTAAGTAAGTAAATAAATAAATAAATAAATAAATAAAGTTTAAAAAAAATGTCCCCACTCCAAGATGTCTTCTATTTCACAAAGAAACGGCTGGCCACTGTCTCAAATTCTTGTTTCATATTTTAACTATTAAAAAAAATGCATATCATATTAAATCATGGAGACTGTGCTTCAAAATACTAATATCACTATTAAAAGTAAAAGTTCCCCCTTTTTATTAAACACTTGGTGAATTAAAATGCAGTCTCTTATTGCCTGCTGACTTTGAGTTCACTACCTTAGATATACCACAAAACGGTCATTTGATTTCATCAACCTAGAAAGTGGTATAAAGGCCTCAGGAGGTAAACCTATGTGTTTTCAAGCCTGACAACCTGTTTTCTACCCTGGAGATATAGTGAAAGAAGGGAAAAAAAAATCCCCCAAGATGTTGCCCTCTGACCTTCACCCTCTTGCCAGGGAACACGCACACTCTCATGTGTACACAAAAATAAAGTGATAAAACGTAATAGGAAAGAAAATGATATGGGCATGACCCCAGCTTCCTGGCTATATTGCTGTGGCTGGAAATCTAGACAGTCTCAAACAAAGGCTGCTCATTTTAATCGCACACTAGCATTCTGCTGGAGTCCTGTGTCTAACCCAGGCACCTTCTCCAGACTGTGCTCCGTGAGAGAGACATCCTGTTCATTTATTCTCACACAGGCTTGATTGACTCATCAGTATGCCAAGAAAGAAACGCAGCTTTTGTTCCCTGAGAAAGTCTCTGTTACACAGATGTCTCTGAGTGAGCTGGCCCAAATACTGGGTTTGAGATGACCCCTGAGCAGAACAGGACAGATTTTCTGAGGACTGTTTAATTTATTTGTTTTGCCGGAATTCTCTGATAGTGAAGCAAGCATGTTTCCTATGCTGGTGGTAATTTTAATTTTATTGACTGTCTGAAATTTCAATACTTTGTTATATTGTGGTGAACATAGGAAAATATTAAAATTTAATGAGGGACAAAAATCTATCCATGTTTTTACTGAGATCATTAATGGAATACTTATTTGTAAGCATCATTTTTTAAAGTTTTACATTTGAATTTATGAACACACTGATTTATTTCTGACAATTTAATACAGAGTAGAGGGAGCCTTCAAGGAGGGTTTGCCTCCGTCAGTTTTGCCTGTGTGCTATGTTTGTGGGGCACAGTCTTCATTAATGATTGATTTGGAAGGCCCCAGCCATTGTGGGTAATACCACCCTTAGGTAGATGGTTCAGGATTATATAATAAAACAAGGAAATCATGAAATTTGCAGGCAAATGGTAGGATCTAGGAAAGATCATCCTGAGTGAGGTATACCAGAACCAGAAAAACACACACAGTATATACTCATTTATAAATGGATATTAGACATATAATATAGGATAAACATACTAAAATCTGTACACCTAAGGAAGCTAGTCAAGAAGGAGGACCCTTGGTAAGATGATCAGTCCTCACTCAGAAAGACAAACAGGATGGACATCAGAAGAGGAAGAAAACAGGGAACAGGACAGGAGCCTATCACAGAGGGCTCTGAAAGACTACTGAGCAGTGTATCAAAGCAGATGCTGAGACTCATAAACAAAGTTTGGGAAGAGTGCAGGGAATCCTATGAAAGAAGGGGGAGATAGTAAGACCTGGAGAGGACAGGAGGTCCACAAGGAGAGCAACAAAAGCAAAAAAATCTGGGCACAGGGATCTTTTCTGAGACTGATACTCCAACAAAGGACCATGCATGGAGATAACCTAGAACCCCTGCTCAGATATAGCCCATGGCAGCTCAGTATCCAAGAGGGCTCCCTAGAAATGGGAAGAAGGACTGTCTCTGACATGAACTCAGTGTATGGCTCTTTGATCACCTCCCCCTGAAGGGGGGGGCAGCCTTGCCAGGCCACAGAGGAGGACAATGCAGCCAGTCCTGATGAGACCTGCTAATCTAGGGTCAGATAGAAGGGGAGGAGGACCTCCCCTATCAGTGGACTTGGAGAGGGGCATGGGAGGAAATGAGAGAGAGAGATGGTGGGATTGGGAGGGAATGAGAGAGGGAGCTACAGCTGGGATAAAAGTGAATAAATTATAATTAATATAAAAAATAAAAATTTAATAAAAAAAAGGAAGAAAGCAGAGTTAGCTGTGGAAGCAAGCTAATACACAAACTTTTCCCATGGTCACTTCAGTTCCAGTATCCTACCTTGAGTCCATGCCCTGGCTTCCCTCAGAGATAGGCTATAAGGCATAAGCAAGACAACTCCTTTCTTCCCAAGTTGGCTTTAGTTGTGGTGTTTTATCACCACAACAGAAAGCAAACTAGTACAATAGACTAAGACAGAATAAGTTTTTTGAGCTCTCGGGATTAAGATAATTGAGGAAATCTGAGGAGTTTCCATATGCTCGATATGATGAAGTGCTCTGCATGGCATGACCTCAGGAAGAAGAAAATTGTGGGGAAGAAGATGACGAAAATGTCGACTTAATTCAGTCATTGCTGTGTCACCCGATGTGCCAGTTATGAGTGTCCACCCAAGTTGGGAGGAACTCAGTTTTCCCAATAGAAAATAGAGGTGTAGACTCATTCATTTCAGAGATTCTCAGAGAAATACTATCATGTGAATTACATAAGGTGTATCACCAAAATTTTCTTTTAAATAACTGATTAAAGTTTTATTCTCTCCTTATAATTATAGTGGTCTGTTTATATGGCATGAGGATTAAGGAAATAACATGAAATAAAAAGGGAAACCAAAATTGGTGGTGAGTCCTTCAATCTGGGCTTAAGCATTGTTAATATACTGACTCATTTCCTTCCAGGCTTCATCTACATATGTGTGTTCTTACAACAACGAGACATAAATGTATGCATATCTCATATAACTTAGGTTTTCCTCTAAAGCATTAATTCCTTTGAGAACATACTTACAGAAGATGCATAGTGATTCAACCCATTAAAATGATTATTTAATTAGTCTTCAGTACTTGTTAAATTGAAACTGTTAGAGATATTTTATTATTATGTTATTGAACAGAAATACTTAGGTTGTTATTAATTTGTGTGAAGATGTTTCTACAGATGTCATCTCCACAGAAAGATTTTGGAAATGACTTTACTAAATTTTGGCATTCTTATTATGCTATCCTTGTAAAGCAAATAATGAAATATTTCCCTTTTCTCTGTCATCTGAATGAGTTGGTACTGGTGCACAATCCAATTGACTTTTGCATTCTTCTTATTGATATGAACCCAAGGCTATAAAATACATCTTCAGTCCTGCTTTAGTTGAGATTAATTATGTCATTATCATTTGGTTTCAAATATTTTCTTTTAGAAGACTTCTCTGACTGAAAGGCGACTTAGAACAAATAGTTTTATTAATAGTTTTATTTCAGGCACCTGGGGTAACTTAGTGTTTTATTTTGTAGGTTTCTAACTTAATCCCATGTACATTTTTCATGTCAGGAGTTATGCAAATGTTTACCTTCTCACATAAAAAATTATTAAACATTGCTTACTTTTCTGCTACCAGGACAGAATGCCTTAAGAAAAGCAACACATGGGAGAAAGGGCTTATTTTAGCTTACAGTTTCACAGGGGATGGAGTCCATCACTGTAGGGAAGGCATGGCAGCAAAAGCATAAGGCTGGGTTGGCAGTCAGGAAGAAAGAGAAAACACAGGAAGTAGAGGGAGAGAACAGGAAGTGGGGCAAGGCTATAAAACCTCAAAGCCCGCCCCGAGTGCTGTACTTTCCCTTTCAAGGCTCTACCTCCTAAATTTTCCATAACCTCCCCAAACAGCACCACCAACTGGAGACCAAGTGTTCAACACATGAACCTCTGGGGGATATTTTTCATTCCAAACACAGCAGGGGGCATTTTGTGTGTGCGTGGAAATCGTTTATGTTCTTAAGCTGTTGGATGATTCTATGAATATCAATGAGCTTAGTTTACTGGTAGAGCTGTTTACATCTTCTTTTGTCTTTGCTGACATATTTTCTAGTAACATGGAGCAGGCATTAAAACATCTTACTGTAAGCACAAGCACAAAGCTTTTTTTTCTCTTTTATTTTGTTATAGCCTACTTTTTGGACTTGGAGATTTCATCAGTGGGTGCATTCACATCAACAGTTATAATTTTTTTTTTTTTTTTTTTTTTTTTACTGATTGTAAAATTGAGATCTGTAAAACTGAGATGTGTATTCTTTTTTCCTAATCACGTCTCTTTATCTACCTCCAGTGATATCAATACAGACACTCCTAATTGCATATGTTCACTGTTCTCTTTTTAGTCTGGGTCTGTAGATTACAGATATCTATATTTTAAAAAATAATTTATTCGTTTTATGTTCTGATTGTAATCCCCTCCCTCATCACCCCTCTCAGTCCCACCTTCCCTTTCTTTTCCTCCCTATTCCCCCTCCCCTAGAACACAGAAAGAGGAAGCCCTCTTCCCTTACCATCTGATCCTAGCCTATCAAGTCTTATCAGGACTGTCTAGATCCTCTTTCTCTGTGGTCTGGCACCAGAGGGAGGTATTCAAAGAGCAAGCAACAGAGTTTATGCCAGAGATAACCTCTGTTCTCTTTACTAGGAAACCCACATGGATACTGAGCTATCTATGGGCTACATCTAAGCAGGGGATCTAGGTCTTCTCCATGCATGGTCTTTGGTTGATGTATCAGTCTCTGCAGGGCCCCCTGGACTCAGATGTTTTGGCTTTGTTGGTTTCCTTGTGGCGTTCCTGTCCACTCCTATCCCCCAGCTGTTCCATAAGACTCCCTGCAATCTGCTCAAAGTCTGGCTGTGAGTCTCAGCTTCTGCTTTGACCCCCTACTGGGTGGATCTTTTTCAGAAGACACCTACTATAGGCTCCTATCCTATTCTCTCTCTTCAACCACTTCCAGTGTCTATTCTATTTGCACATCTAAATGAGAATTAAGCATCCTCCCTATGACCCTCCTGGTTATTTAGCTTCTTTAGATCTGTGGATTTTAGTATGGTTATCCTGTATTATATGGCAAATATCTGCTTAAAAGTGAGTATTTTCCATGGATGTCTCAACCCTGCATCTGACAAAGGGCTAATATCCAAAATGCATAAAGAACTCGAGAAATTAAACACCAACAAACCAAACAATCCAATTAAAATGGGGTACAGAGCTAAACAGAGAATTCTCAACTGAGGAATATTGAATGGTGGAGAAACACTTTAAAATGTTTAATGTCCTTAGTCATCAGGGAAATGCAAATCAAAATGATCTTCAGAATCCATCTTACACCCATTAGAACAGCTAAGATCAAAGACTCAAGTGACAGCACAGGCTGGTGATAATGTGGAGAAAGAAGAACCCTACTCCATTGCTGGGAGAGGGGACTGCAAACTTGTATAATCACTTTGGAAATCACCCTGTCACTTTCTCAGAAAACTGGGAATAGCACTACCCCAAGACCCGCTCTACACTCCTGGCATATACCCAGAAGATGCTCCACCATACAATAAGAACATTTTGCTCAACTATGTTCCATAGCAGCATTATTTGTAATAGCCAGAATCTGAAAACAACATAGATATCCCTCAACAGAAGAATGGATGAGGAAATTGTGGTACATTTACATGATTGAATACTACATAGCTATTAAAAACAAGAAAATCACGAAATTTGTAGGCAAATGGATGGAACTAGAAAAGATCATCCTGAGTGAGATATCTATCCTTTTAAGGGAAGAGGTTTTTGTTTTGTTTTGTTTTGTTTTGTTTTTAATGATAGAAACAAAAATATACCTAAAAGCGAAGCTTCTGAAAAACCATTTGTTCTTCCCTGTCTTGTATCTTTCCTCAAATTTGACCTTGGCCTCCCACCTGGCCTTGCGTTTCAGAGCGGGGTCTCTAAAGACATCCTTTTTGACAACAGTTTTGTCCAAGGGGATGTCCACAGAGTACCTTGTGGGCATGGGGTGATTATAGTTATAAACTTTCACAAAGGACTTGATCTTTGATCTCTTGGCAATTTTCTTCTTGCCCATGGCAGCTGTCACTTTTCGGGGATAGCAGTTGATTCCAGCCACCAGGGCATGGCTGTAAGGGCGGTCTGAGGTGCCATCATCAATATTCTTCACGATGACGGCTTTGCATCTGGAGTAGCGTCCGGCCAGGACCAGCACCACTTTCCTGGGTTTCATGAACTTACCCATTTCGACAGCAGGCAGCCAGCACCCAGCAGGAAGAGTTTTATTTTATTTCTATTTATTCAGTCTGATAATTTCTACTTTGAATTTAAATGTTTACCACCCACTGACATTTAAAGTAATTATCAGCTTCTTTAATTTAGTTAATCATCTTAGGGTTGATATTCTGTTTGTTCCATGTTCTCTATATTCTTATTCTTCTTTTCATTTCTTGTGCAAACTAGCTGTTTTTTGTTCCTTGTTTTTTTGTGGAGGAGTTTGGAGTATCACGTGTTTCCTTCCATGGTTTTGTCAATTAGAGTCTCCCTTCTCTCCTTTTTTGGTGATTGGTCTGATCTAGCAATAATGAACATATCTTTAGCCTACCATTATTTAACCTGAACTAATATCATTGTTACTCTGTGGAAGTAAGAAAGTCATCATTTGCACACCTATGATCTTTGTGTTCTAATTATATATTTTAACTTCCATATAGGGTAACCCCCCCAACCTTCATTATTGTTAGTTTGAGTGTGGTTAAAATGAATATAGTAAGAAAGCATTTTTATTTGCACACGAATTTGCTCCTTCCAGTGCCCTGTATACATTCCTTCTAATCCTAGTTTCCACAATTGGCCTGTTTTCTCCTTCTTCCTCTGAGCTCCTAGTCTACAAAACTTTTTCTCCAGCATTACCAGGAGTTTATCTGTCCCACAGGCAAATGGCCTCTGCTTTATTGTTGAAAAAGTTTTTGTCCTTTCTTTACATAGCTTAGTAACTTTATCAAGGTCTAGCTTTTGTACCTTATCTATTACTCTTAAGAATACCCTTTAGTGAACACTAATCACTGTGTGGAGTCATACAGCTATCTTCAAAAAACTTACTCCAGCACCTCCCCCAACTTTTCCCTCTTGCTTTTTGGCAGAAACTTACTTAGACACATAGTTCAAGGCAACTATTGCTCTACCGTTAGGGTCATTTCCTATGCATGGAATTAGACATTCATTTTGTCTATTAAGGTTTTGCTTTCATATCTGAAAGTCCTTTCTTTTACTGTAAGTAGAAATGCAGGTTGATAATTTAACCATTTTGCACTTTTTAATTTTAAATATGTTGTTCTATCATGTTCTGGCTGCCATTGTTTCTGATAGCAGTCATTGTTCTGGTAATTGTTCGATTTTTTTAATGCCTTTTTCTCTTCCTGCTTCTGCTAGCCTCACTTTGATTTAGAGTTTTAAGAGTTCATGATATATCTGGAAATTGTTTTCTGGGACCTTAGTGGCTTCAATTAGTTTGAAGGACAACATGGCCATCATGTCTTCAGTTATTTCAGAACTGTTCTTTTTCACTTTTATAACCTCAATTATGCATGTTATCTTTCTTCATATTGTCTACACATCTTTTTTTCCTGCCTTATAACTGGCCTAGATAAAGTATTGCTTTGAAATGAATGAGGATATGGGACTAGCTTTTAATATGTTTCTTCTTAAGATGATCCTGGAGTGATCAAATAGAAAATAGTGTGACATCTTTACCTTTCATTCTAGGTAGAATGTCCTTAAAACACAGTACAATTATAAGCTTGACAAGATCCTGTGATATAATTATAAAAAACTTTAATTATTAAAAACAAACCGGAGACTTTGAGCCCCTTTTTTGCTTTCCTAAATTTCTCGGGTTCCTTTTCCTTCTTTTTTTTTAAGGATTTTTAAAACTTTATTTTTAATTTATGTATTTACTTTACATCCCAATCATAGTCTCCTCCATCCTCTCCCCGGGTCCCTCCCACCCTCTTCACCTATCCTCCCTCCTTTTGTCCTCTTAGTCCCTGTTTTGATATACGCTTCATCTTGTTCTACATCATGGATGTTCTGCAGTTAGAGTTAAAACGAAAAGCCCACATTCAAAGATGAAATTCTCTTCTCCTGCCCTTCTTATGATTCATCAAGGCTGGCTGATCAGCAAGCCCTCAAGGTACCCCATCTCCACCTTTTCAGCCCCTTAGTTCATATTTTTGAGGCATGGAAGGAGTACTATATATATATAAAGAATGTATATATATACATATATGTATATATATATACATACATACATAAAGAATATATATTAATATGTATATATTTATATGAATATAAATATATAGTTAAAGAATATATATATATAAATATAAAGAAAAAGGAATTTAAAAAGAAAAGCAATCTCTAGGAACAAGAAATGAAATAAAATTAATAAACCAAACTTGGCATCTGCTTGTTTTGAGAAAGGCTTGATTCCAACTGACAACGAAACATGATAATCTGTATATCTGTTATGGGATACACCCTAAAGATAAAAAGAAGTACAAAAAAAATTAAATACTTCCTGGTCACACTTATCCTATCATTCTGAGGCTGCTGACTAGGCACACCAGCATGAACTACTGCTGCTGACTAACTATGTTGTCTGTTAGGCCGTGATACTTGATGGAGAAGGAAGGGAGCATAGATATAGACAGATTTCAGCACGAGCGTCCTATATTGAAGTTGGGATTTTAAGTCTAAGCTCATATGTCATCACACAACTTCAAAATATATTTAGGTATTTCCTAGCTCTGCCCAGTGGAAAAGCTCATAAAGAATGTCCAGCACAGTACAATGAACATCTTAAAGCATACTGATTGTGATCTTAAAATATTTTGAAGTACTTAGTAAATGGAACCAGGACTCCTTGGGGGAAATGTCTGACTCCCTTATCTGGGACAGGAAATGAACAAGATGAGACTGGAACATCGTGTCATAGCAGAAGGCGAGTTACTCCCTCAAAGACTGCTGGCATCTGTCAGAAGGACTCTGGAGCCAACCTCATTAGACAGAGTTGGGCTGTATGCACACCAGTAAGATCAAACTGCAGTGGAGTAGAAGCCACTGAAAGTGTCTAATCCACTAGTTTATATATCGTTAAAGCACTATCCATGATCTTTGGAGTATAGTAGGAGAGCAGACCACGGAATACATGAAAAGAAATCCAGCTAGTACATGAGCAGGTCTAAGCACTGAAATTGAAGGCCACTGACATTACAAAGAGATCCAGCCAGCAGTGAGCCCCTGCTGATTGCAGCAAGGTTTATGAAGAGACTTCCCCAAATGAGTTTCTTACAGCTCAGGGTCTAACACACAGAACCTGCAGGGAATGGAGAAACTCACCACCATGTGGCAGTGTGTATAGCTCATCAATAGAATCCCGATGGAGGGAATTCTAAATTACAAACCACGCCTTTACCAGCAACACAACACACTGCAAAGAAAAAAAAAGAGGGGAAAAAAGAGGGATGGAAGAAAACCGTAGGCAGTGTGGCTAAAAGAGGCATGAGAGACACAATAACTTAGATCCGGTTTAAATAAGCAAAGAGTTACAACGCAAGAAAAGGAGAGGAAACAGCAGCAGGAGGAGAAGGTGGGTGAGGAGGAAGGGGAGGAAGAGAGGAAGGAGAGGAGAGTAAAGGAAAGGGAAAGATGGAAAGGAAGAGAGCAAAGAGGGGAAGAGGGGAGAGGTTAGAGAATTGTACAATTGGAGAACTGTTACTAAGGACTACTGTTGGGGACACCAAGGACATTTTTTCCTTTTCTTTTGGAAGGTATAATGATAGACACTGTGCTTGCAAAAGACGCCCCTGTAGAGATGTAGGCTATGGAAATATTTATGGCTGAAATGATATATCAGGCATCTGTTTTGAGACAATTGGACTGCCGAAGTGGGTAGATCCAGAAGCTAGGCTCTTAGATCAAAGTTTACTTAAACCTAACCTTCAGGGCAGATGAAAGTACAAATAAGTGTCTGAGTCAGTGCTGGAGGCCACCAAGAGTCCACCTTGCCAAACAAGTCCTCAAGTGATGCTCCAGGGATACCACCCAGAGCAGTGGATGCAAGACCAAACCATAGTTAATTATTCTTGCACCTGGGCAGTGAGAACATGGAGCCTTGCTGTTGTGTTCTTTCTACTTCCAAACAGACTTGAAACTCTCCCTATTAACAAGAAACTTTAGGAGTCCAAGAGGACACAGAAAGGAAGCTCACCTTTTTATAAACCGCAGTGTTAATGGAAAGTTCTGTGCTCATGAACAAAACAGATGTGACAGCCGCTTCCAAGGCCACCTCTGGATTGAAGGTGCACATTCTTCTTGCCCAGTGGCAGTGAGCTTGTCACCTCAGCTGTCTCTCCATTCATGAAACCACCTGGACAGAGGCTACAGAGAAGAGTGCTTTCCAAGACGCCTATGTCATGCTGTGTCCTGCTTCTCCCTATGGATATTGGAAGAACGGTGGTTTGGACGAATTCCAGAAGGTTCTGGCAGCTTCGGCTGGAAAGAACACTCCTGAGCAGAGCTGTGTCCTGGCTCAGCTGCCAGGGGTTGGAAGAAGTCCAGGTTTGCATGCGAACATGCTCATTCTTCTGAAAAGCTGTCCCTGGGATCCCTAGTTCAGGGGGCACCTCAACTCTGCCACGTTATTCTGTTCACTTCTCAGCACTCATACAGGTGTTTAACTACCCATATTTTTACATATTTGTTAGGGTATCTCTCAAAGGTCAGGCATTTATTGAGACCCTGGAAATCATACACAACAGAAAGTAGAAACCCTACAAATCAGAATTTTTTATAGAGAACTTTTACACATTTACCTGCATGCTGCTATTGCTATGATTTTTTTAATTTTATTTTAAAATTTAGCATGTGTGTTAATGTATGAACACATAGATGCCAGAGGTGTGTGTGTGTGTGTGTGTGTGTGTGTGTGTGTGTGTTATGTGTGAACACCTGGATGCCAGAGGTTGATATGGATGTCTTCTTTTATCATTTACCACCTTACTTTTGGGGACAGCCTCCCATTGAACCTGGAGATGGCCATTTGCATTAGTGTGGCCTCTGGGATCCACCTGCCATGGCCTTCCAGCATCTGGGTTACAGATGCACACTATGGCACTTGGATTTTATGTGGGGGCTGGGGCTCTGACTTCAGGTCTTCAAACTTGTGCTGTCAACTCTTTACCC